GCGTTGTGTTGCATAATTTTAGGCATTTTTGTTTATTGCGGCGTAAAATTTGAATTATGAATCAGGAACAGCGCCCGCTCCATTTTCCATTGCCCCTGCCCATCCCACTCCTGGCCCTGTCCCTTCCGTGCAAGGGTTACATTCTGAGGTTATTAGTAATTTATTTGCATATTTTGTGCCAGCCCAGGGGTGGGGTTACCGCCGACTGACGGACAGGAGCAGGAACTCAAGTGTCACACGACAGTCAAGTGTCGTGTCTTGAATGAAATACGCTTTGAGTTGGGTTGGGCCTGCCGCCCGCTGCCTGCTGCCTGCCAAGGTGGCCCGCAGGTGCGGGGAAGACGTTACAGCTGACAAAAAAAAAGTGAAATAATCTTAAATAATGGATAAATATCGACTCTCTTACTTGTACTCTTATTATAGCTAGAAAGCAGTTTGGAAACAGACCGAAACAGACCCTTGAAGCTATCAAAGTAATTGATTCACTTTATATATAGTTTTTTCTAAGGTAAATAATTCTTTCCTCTTTAACAAACTCAAGAAGAGTTTACGAAAAATAAGTCCAGAAATCTGTTTACTTAAAAGAAAACCAATAGCTTTTGACAACTCTTCAAGAGCTTTGAAGTCCCTTATGATTTCTGGAGACCCTTTCTACATCGAGCGAAATTTCCTGCCCTTCATGGATATCTTTATCGTGCTATCGATACTTATTAACAAGTATCTAACACTTTTTACTTCCTTTCCATTTTCCGTTCTCCTACCACCTGCCATGAGCGTTCCTTTGAGCCAACCCATTGCCTGGCCCAGCGGTTAATATATGAAGCAATAAATATTTTCCTACCACGCCTTGCTGGGTCCAGGTTCAATGCCAGGATCAAACCAACTTTAATTGCCACTTGCTAATTGCAAGCTCCCAACAGGACAGGGGTGGAACAAGCGCTATATACTGCTGCCATATTTCATGCATCACAGATACATAAAGAATATAGATATTTTCCATTGAACGTGGCCCGGCCAGACAGCATAAAAAGTGGAAGAAGCAGCCACTGATTAGTATCAAAGGGGACTGAGGCGGGGAGCTAAGAGCAAGGATCTCGGAGCCTAGAGCATGGAGCATGTATCACGGAGGAGATACAGTTGCGGTTGCTCGGATGCCTGGTTGCCCGCCAGCTGTAGCTGTAGCCGGAGCCGGAGCTGTGGCAGTGAAAAACTTTTGATTAAGCTGCAGTTATGGCAGGTTGTTAGAGCGGAGAGCTGCAGCATGCTTTTGTTTTGCTTGCTAGCTCGTTAGTTTGTTTTGATTTTACTTCCAGCGACCCTTACCCTTGCCAGCCCCACATGACAGATGCTTGAGGCAACATTGTCTACCATTAGGTGCTTGTCAGTGACAAATTTCTCCATCGAACTTCTTCCGCTGGCAGCAGCGGCAGCTCGAATAAACTTTTGCATACAACTTTAATGATTTTTGTTGAAAAAGAAGCGAACTAAGCGGCGGCGTTTTCAATAAGCAAACCCAAACCCCAGTACCGCAGATTGCCCTCCGGCTAACCCCATAAAATATTACTTTTCTATCAACAAAAGTTGCCGGGCCACTCAATTCGAAACCATTTTCCAAACTATCATCATCATCGAGTGGAGAAAGCATCATAAAAATCGCTCTTCATGTGCCCCGCAGAGGAAGGCCAGCAGGACGGGCTAGCAGCGAGGACGACTGCCATAACAAAGCCATAAAACGTAGTTTTAATTGCATTTTCGTTGTTCCGTTTTATGTAGTTCGACCGGCGAATGCATAAAAACAACAACTGACCAAAGCGGACCAGGACAGGGCTGAAAGCTCCGGCTCTGGCTTCGGCTTCAGCTCTGGCTCTGGCTCTAGCTCCGGCTGGTTCGATGCGCCGCATTCTAATTGCACGAGGATGGGTTGGAGAAGTGGTGGGGTGGGGATTTGGGGAAGGCACTTACGGCTTGACTGGATCTCTGGATCCCCTGTCCCTGTCCCTGTCGCTGGCTCTCTGCGAATTTCGCTTTGCTCACTTAGCGCTCGGGCATCATAAACTAACGCAGTTTATGGGTCCATGCACCCAGCCACACACCCACACCCACCCTCACATCCATTGACAAGGGGGAGGGTGTTAGGAGTGGTAGTGCTCAGAGAGCACTTGGCCAAGTTGGCACTTTCGGGCATTGCATATGCGTAGGCGACACTGCGGCTAGTCTCGACCCCGACTTGCCCCGCTCCTGGTCCGCCATGCACGACTTGCTGTGGCGCTAAAATTTGCGGTTTAACGTTGCCACTGGCGCCTGTCGACTCTCAACTGTCGCTGCAGTATCCTGCTGCTGCTGCCTCTCCCCCAACTCGGGCTCGTCCTCGGAGGACACTTTGTCATAAGCAATCGTGAAGGCTAATTGTGTCGAGGCAGGCATCTTTTGATTCCACACAGAGCCGAACGGGGCGGCCAAGGGAGAGAAAAAGAGAGCCAGATTTAATTAACATTTTGACTCTCAAAGGCTTCGGCTTTTGGCAACATTTAAATTTCAAATTATGTGCGCTAATTACGCGGCCAAAAGAGCCGTCTGGGCGGCGGGGAGGAGGCTGCGGGGAAACCTTTCTGGCGCTAATAATTAGCCAGACTTTTGTGCAGAGTCAGAGAGATGCCTTAGTTGGGATGCTGCGCAGGCAGCCATGTGGCTGCCGGAGAATGCTTTCGCGGAGCGAACGAAGTTAAATTTTCGTGAATTTCCCACATTTTTTCTACGCCCGGCGGTGCCTGCATGGCGCCTCATAAATGGCCAGAAGTTCATTAACCAACCGAAACCGGGCTTCATCACTGCATCGGATGCCTGATCAATATGTGTGCATGCAGCCTGCTGCACTGATTTCTGTTTGTTGTTTTTGCAGACAGAAGCCGCAGTCAAAGCCGCCCGATGGATGTGGCTGCCACATCTGCGGGCTTCCATTGATAAACCCTTCAGAAAAGAGAGGTCGAGAATGAACCGGGACGGAGTGCAGTGGAGTGGCGTGGCTTGGAGTGGAATGAAGTGGCCCAGGGAAAGGATAGCACAACCTGCATGATGCTTAGTCGGGCTCGGCTTTTGAGACGCTGCTCCGGAGCCCTGCTTGAGCTGAAAACATTTTCCAATTTATTAAGCCACGCCACATCAATCATTCATCAGGGGCGGAGGACGTGCGACTAAATGAACATTTTTCGGTTAAACATTGGTTTAAATTTTGCGGCGTCACAGCTCTGCCCCTCTCCCGGGCCCCGGCATCACTGTCAACAACATGGCGCTGACGTTGGCATCGCCTGTGTATAAAATCAACACGGCTTCAGTTCATCGACCACTTAATTTATCCAGCTGAGCTTTGAGCAAGGCAAAGCGCATTTGTGTGTTGTCTGGCCAAGAGCGATGAAGGGAGCGTAGCAGGGCGGGCGATTCAGCATGCCTTTGGTCAGACAGAGAAATGCACTTAATTGCCGCTGGTCCGCTGTGCGCCGACCTCCCTGCTTAGGGACCCAATTGCATTTAAAAAACCTGGCCAAAAGCGCGCTACGCCATTCGCCACTCGCCACTCGCCGGCATTTAGGGCTGACCCCTCCTCCAGCGGCAGCAGTCGTTCATTATGCATTAATGTAAATACGGTAAATGTTGTCCAATCATTAACATAATTGAATTACAAACAAGTCCAATCGCTGCCAGAGCCCCGAATTTCCAGCTCGGCTCTGCTCCATGCGCGTGCATAAATCGCAATTTTAATTACTCGCCCCTGACTAATGGATTGTTCCGAAAAAACACACGGAACGCGGCGGCGGGGAAGCCCGGTACTACGACATTAAATATTTCATATTGTGGGAGGGCCCGAAAGGCTCGGCTCGCCCAGTCACTCTCCCTCCTGGTTATATAAAGCAATTGAATTTTGCAGTTAAAAGCTTCAATCATTTTCAATTGCCGCAAACTAATGGCTGATTATAAAATATTCATGCGACAAGCGGCAGGCGATGAGACGACAGACTTCCGAGCGGCGCGGCGGCTAATGACAGGGCCAGGCCGGGCATTCAGGCCCGGCTGATGAGCCAATCTAAGGCCAGGAAGGCCAGTAGGGCCAGGAAGCCCAGGGGCGTGCTCGAAGCCGCCCCTTTCAAACTATGTCTGTGTGGTGCAAATAAATTACACCTGCGAGAGCGAGCGAAAGGGTCTCTCCTTCTGGCTGATTATTGATTTGCTCGGGTTTCTGCGGTCTTCGGGGGCCGGCCACTCGACTCGAGCATTCGGTATAAAGCCCTCAATTAAGTTTTATTTTAATGCATTTCATTTGAACGTCTTTTAATGGGATTTTTCGTGCCCTGGCACGGGCACAGGCATATTACTCATTTGCCATAAACCGAAAGGTGACCACAACACGTAGTCGTCCCAAACCCAGACCCCCAGCCACATTCACATCCACATTCACATCCATATCCACCTCGGCATCCCAACCCGCTCTCAATGCCGATACCACTGTGAGGAGTGGATGAACAGAGAGCGAGAGCGTGGCGAGAACGTTGGGTGAGGAGGGAGAACGTTAAGTGTTGGCTGGCCAGAATCGACATGGGTCGCTTGGGTGAGATTTAAGCTTTAATGATGCATGAAGCGGCACAGGATGTGGCTGCCCAGTCGTGGGTAAAAGGCAATGAGCCCAAATGGCCAGGGATGACGGAAGAGGAGGCCGAGAGGCAACCGGGAGGAGCGACAGGAGATGGGCTTGCATATTGAGTGGCATTTAAATGCTTGAAAATGCTACGCTGGCCAAATGTGTTTTGGGAGGTGTTTATGAAGAGGTCCTTGGCCACCAACGAAAGTTGATTGAATTTGAGGGGGGGTGGTGGCAGCAGCAACCACCGATTTAATGGACTTTCCTGCTAATACCATTAACGCAAAATCTGTTTCAGCCAAGCACTCGTCGTCTCAGCCAGATATTACTTTATTTAACACCCATCTTTCTCTCTTCTTCTCTCTTGCAGATGAACCGTGCTTTACAGCTGAAGCCAGCTGAAAATGAAAGTCGCAGCGGTAAGTAATCACCTGCCATATTCATTTATGACCCCAGATCCGTGGACTGCCTGCCATAAAATCAATTTGCGCACAACAAATCGGGAGGAGTCGCCATAGGTGACCCAAAACAAATAATTGCGAAAAACTTGACCCGTCTTCTGTGCAAAGTTTTTGTGCAAAAGCACTCAGCCGAAAAGTGCAGAGCCAGCTAAAGTTTTTCTCTATCCCCAGTCCCAGTCCCAGCCTAGCTATACCCAGTCATCCCCAAGCCCGCATCGCTATTTTCTCTGCTATTTTCAACACCTACAACACACGTCAGCAAAAATTACGGGCGCACTTCGATAAACTGTCAAAACTGTCTGCAAAAATTTGACATTTCAGAAAAAAAGCGTACCTCGAAAAAATACTTGGGCACACGGCAGAGAAATGGGGAAGCGTAGAGCAAAACAACGTTGAACTGTCAATGGCAGTCAGCCCTGGAAATGGGCCAGGAGAGCGGGCGACGCGACGGTCGGCGGACAGGCCTCGATGGCCAGGGCGCCATATTGTTTTTACTGGGCCCATCACACAGTTGTCGTGCTTCACGCTTGTTTGTGACAGCCCATCGACCCAAGACCCCCGCCCAACGGCCCCGCATGGCAGAAAAAGAATGATAAAGATTTGCATAATTTACACAGCACTTCAACTTTGTTTTTTGGGTCAGCGTGGCTCGGCTCGGCTGGGCTCGGGCTCGAGTAGTTGTTGCTTTGATAAACTTATTGACAGCCTCATTATGCAGCAGCTTCAAAGTAATTTCAATATTTCTCCCCTGCTGGCTGGGCTTATTCCCCACTCCTCGCGCAGGCGAGCTAGCAGCAGCTCCCCAGGACCCCTATTCCGACGCAGGGGTGCAGTGGCACAGAAGTATGCTACACATTTCGCAATCAACTCTGCACTGCCCCCGGGCCAGAGTCGGACTGGAAGTCAGTGCACTCCGCAATCTCCTAAGACATTTCGCAGCTGGCAGCGCTTATCACTGCGGAGCAGAGAATAGCAGAGCGCCCAAAACGTCCATTGCACAAATTGCTTGTGCACTCGCTTCCACCCTCGCCCAGGACTGGGAGGACGGACGACGGACACAGCCATTGCTCATAACAGTCGCTGTCGCTGGTGGCTGTGGCAAAAACCTTGACAAAGTTGATGTGTCAAATCAGCAGCCAGCCAGCCAGTCAGTCAGGACCCTCCTCCGGATGACCTTTAAACTTTGGCAAAGGACATGAAGGCACTAATCGTTACGTTGCTCCCTTCATTCATCCGTTCTCCGGCTCCGGCTCCGGCCCTGGCTCCGGCTTCGATTTCGCTTTGCTGCGCTCCTTTCAGCCCTCTTTCTGGTCTCTCGCAGTCACTCGCTGGCTCGGCGGCAACAATTTAAACTTTTCTAATCCGCTGGGGATTGAAAACTTGAAGCAACTCGACTTGACTCGACTCGACTCGACTCCACTCGACTCAACTCTGGCAGGGCAACTTGCCGGCAATCTGTCCGCACAATTGTGGACCTGGACCTAGTGCTAGCACTAGGGCTGGGATGGACCTAGAGCGGAGCAAAGGCCAAACCATCGGCGACGCAATCAAGTCGACATTTTTGTTAGTTGCTTTGTTTGCCCGGTCCTTGCCTCTCTCGAGTCGGAACAAATTTCTAAGAAATTAAAGCGCTAAACTTTTTCGGGCCGCTATCAGCACAGCACTTGGCAACTCAGCAGCGAGTCCTCGGCGCTTCGTCCTGCTGCGACTTTTGACTTGGACTGTTTGTGCCTTGTGTGTGTGTGTGTGGTGGAGGGGATCTTCGGCTTCGGCTTTGGCTTTGGCTTTGGCTTGGGCCAAAATGCAATTAGACAAGGACAAGTTTAATTGCCGGCCTCGGTCTCGGCCTCAACCAGAGCAGGGTCCTGCTCCTGCAGGCTGCTGCAAGTTCTTGCCCGCTGACATTTGCATTTTTCAGCCGCACAAAGAAATTTAATTTATTTAAACTCAAATCAAGCATGAAATTCGGGCGAAGTGCGAAGGTCGGGGGGTGATATGAATACATTTATTAGTGTTGACAAGTGCTGATTTGGAAGGGATTCAGGCCCGAGTCCTTCGCAGTAGAAGCCGTCCGCTCCTCAATCTCGGCCTGCTAACTTCATCAATTTTAACTTAGTAAGGGAAGAAGCATTGTTGACATGTCTACGCTTTGACCAGGCCCAGGACTGAAACCTACATGAACCCGAGTACGATTTGTTGCCTTTGTCTCTCGTCCTTTGTCCCCGGTCCCCCAGTCCTGGCTTGTGTATCCCTCCTCTGTCCCGACAATGTTCGTCGCATTTGCAATCTTCAGAGCCATATCTAAGTCTGATGACTTTCGTTTCATTGGCAGGACACACACACCCATACATACAGACAGACTGCCTTGCTTAGTTATTTATCTTGATATTCCACACACACACACACTGGCATACACCATGCTTCATCATTATCAAAACTCATATTGTCGTCTGCCTTTGCTCCGGCTTCTTCCCCCTCCCCGGCCCTCGCGTAATTTGTACTTGTCTAACACGTAATGATGTCACGTAAATTGCATACGTTCGCTTACGGTTACGTTGACGTGTTACGTTTGATATTCCAGTGCTGCAGGCGAGCAGCGACTTAAAGTCAAATTAATATCACTCATACCTGCCGGTGAGCGAAAAGAATCCGCCTCGGCCTGGCACACAAACATAAATTGCGAAATCCCGCCATTTCCGAGCACGCTGGCGAGCTGAGGGCAGAGCCACCCGGCACAGATTTATGCTCCTAACTACGCATTAATTTCCTTACCTTTATCCCGGCTCGTCTCCCCGCTTGACTCCTTGTCACACGTCAGTAAATCAGATGCCGCTCCGTAGCCACTTCCCGTCTCGCCTCATTCATCATACTTATAAATATTCATTTCCTCGGGCCCTCGGCCTGCGGAGGATGTGGGGGATGATTGCAAAAGATTAAAAATCAACTCCATAAAAATTTCCCTGCATCCTCCCCAATGATAAATGGCACACGAAAATTAACAAAACCCATACGCGCAGAAGGTACATTATCGGCAGCGAAAGGGAGAGCGTTCCCGAGGGAAAACTTTCGGGGACCTCATTATAGACAACGTCTCATCAAATTGAAAAGCAATGAGCTATGAAAGAGAACCCTCCTCATTCCCGGATAGTAGTGTGCGGCCCGAGGAAAGTTTCAGGCCAAAAACTAATAATAATAATACGCAGTGTTGGCCGCCCCGAAAAAACTTTTCGCATTTCGTTTGCTGCCACTCACTTCCCCCACTCACTCGCTGCCTTTTACGCCTGATTACGCATTTGAATTGTATTCGCCGCCAATTGGCGTTTCTCATTTCGGCTGCCGCAAAAGTTCTACCGCGTTTGACCATAAAAGACCTCAGTAGACGGAGGGCGGCACTTTCTCCACCTGCCACCACACCGGCGCCCTTATTAGTGTCAACATTTTTATGGCAGCCCTCGCAATTTGATTAGCGCGAATAAAGAGCGACAAATTCAATTGAATTTGTAATATAGATTGACTGCCGATGATGATTGGCTTCAGCTGCGGCTGCGACCGCGACTGCCCCGGATGCCACTTCCTTTATCAGTCCCACATGTGTTTTCTTCGGGGGTGCAAATTAAAAGGAATCGGGCGCGGGATGCGATTTCCGGGGCAGGGATATTCGCCACTAAGCCCCAAATAACAAAGCCTCCGAGCCCAGACAAAAGGCATAAATAAAGCCAGGCCAGCGAGGGCAGCATCTACGCCTAACAGCAGACATCAATTTCTGCCTCTCTGCGTTTTTCTTTTCCCGGCTCTTCGCTCTTCCTCCTCCATCTCCTCCAAACGGAGGAGCTCAATTCTTTAATCAGCTTAAATTCACACGTACCAAAAGCGACGCACAGCCATTGATTGGAGGCTTACCCCCGCCAGCCCCCAGTCCGTCCTTCCCTTCCCTGTCCCCACCCTCACCTTCCCGGCTTCTCTTTTCTCTTCTCGGAGACTTCGTTGCTTTTATCAAAGCCAGTTCAAAGGCTCGTATGTGTATTTAGGCTTTTATTGTTTTTGACCTTTTTTCTGCGAGACGAAATAAAAATCGATTTTTTTCGCACACACCCACAGCTGCACAGACAACTCACGCACAAAATTCAGACGGAAAAGCGAAAGGCGAGGACGAGGACGAGGGTGAAGGCGAAGGAAAAGCCAGCTCAAATAAAAGTAAATCACAAGCATCGCTGCTGGCAGCATTCACAAGTTCAAATAAGCGATAATAAGTATTTATGGGCGGGGCAGGCAGATTCCATTCCGTCCGTATGTAAGGCCCAAAACTGCCTGCTAAATGCGTTTTAATGTTTTTTAAACTTTTGCCCCTGTCCGCGCTGGCTCTTAAATATTTAAGTATACTCTTAGGCGATTCGGCGATTCCAGCGGCTGTATAGTTTCCTTTTCCGTTTTCCTTTCCTCCCCCTGCCTTGTCCTTGTCCCTGTCCCTGTCCCGTTCCCCTCCCCTATTGACAGTTCGTTTCGGCCTGCGCATCATTTTTCTTCGTTGCTTGATTTTGTTTTTACGAGCGACTGAAGCCTGTCAATTGGCTGAATGCCTCGTAAAAATGCCAGAGGCCTACAAGGAAACTTCGCTTCGAAAGGAAAACAAAACGGGGCCAGCAAGAAGAGAACGATTTGTTATGTTTTCTCAGCGCAGCGCCAACAGGAAACGGAAAGGCACACAAAGACTCCCCACCTATCTCGCTCTGCCAGTCTCTGTTTTGTTTTTAGTTTGTTATTCTGTTTTCCTTGTGCCGCTGCTTAGGCCTGCCAAATGTCATCATTAGCGTTTCAATTGCCATTTTAGTCCGTGACACTTGAAACATTTGCATAAAATACCAAAAGTCAAGTTTGTTGACGTAGATATTTTTGATGGGAAGAAGCCGGCTGGCTCCTGATGTTTGGCTTACCTGTGACGGGAGAGTGAGGGCCAGCCC